ATTAAAAGAGTTCTAGTGATAAGATTTTTAGGTGTATATATTGATGAAAATCTTACATGGAAAAGCCATATTGCTAACTTGTGCAGTAAAATTTCAAAGAGTATAGGCATTTTATAAAAAATAAGAAACGTTCTTGATAAACATACCTTAATTCAATTATATTATTGGTTAATTCATTGCCATATTAACTATGCAAACATTGTTTGAGGTAGCACTTATAAAAGTAGGTAGCACTTATAAAACTTGAACCTCTCTATCAGCAACAGGAGCATGTAACACGCCTAATAAATTTTAAGGACCGTTTTGCTCACACCAAGCCTCTCTTATATGATATGAAAGCACTCAATACATATGAGTTAAATGTTTTTAATATTCTTTGTTTTATGTATAAATGCAAGACCCACCTATCGCCCATTTCTTTTTGTAACTTGTATTTACAAAAAGATAGAAATAAATATAATCTAAGGAATGATAACTTAATTCGACAACCATTTTCTCAAACTAATTTTGGAAAATTTTTTATTTCATTTTGCGGACAACTTTTAAGGAATAGTATAGTTCTAAATACTTCTAAAGATTTTTCTCAAGAATTTAATTTTGATTCTTTTAAACAAAATCTTAAAAAATCATTTTTTCAACTGAAAATATACTAATCTACTTTTAAATTTTTGAAAATCCCATATCTATATTAGTATATGTATTTATTTAATGTATATTCTTATTTATTTATTATTTTATCAACTAGCAATTATTTAACATATATAATTTTAGTGAATTATTTAGCATGTTTTAGTTTTCAAGTTTTAGATCTCTTCTATTGTAATATTATATGTTTATTTTTATTTTAATTTACAATATTATATTGCTACGTTTGGAGGTGAATCATCCTTTGGCAGTGGTTTGGGGTTTTTGTCGTTAGAAGCGTAAACGGTAATTTATATATTTGGCAGTGACTTGGCGTTTTTGTAGTCAGAAGCGCAAACAGAAATCTGGTAATTTGGCTAAACTTACACCGATAACCGCCGTATCTAGATGATTTATTTATATATATATATATATATATATATATATATATATATATATATATATATATATATATATATATATATATATATAAATATATATATTTCCAAAGTTTTAGCACAAAATGTGTAAATATTCTAATAAACAAGACAACTTTTTTAATTTTAGTTAAAAACATTTATTTAATAATACATATTTTGACTATATCCATTTTCAGTTAAAATATATTAAAATGCTTAAATCAAGTTATTATATACTCAAAGAAGACCTAATGGTCTTCTTTGAGTATCCGCTTTTTTTATATTTATTTTTATACTTAATTTCTTCACATTATCTTGACTTGTTAACTTTTCTTTTTTTTATATTATTTGTATCTGTATCATAAATATTGTAATAAAGAACAAATACATATATATATATACATATATATATATATATATATATATATATATATATATATATATATATATATATATATATATATATATATATATATATATATATATATATATACACATATATTATTATTATGCACTGTTTATTATGCAATATATATTGTTATTATTATTATTATTATTATTATTATTATTATTATTATTATTGCTATTATTATTATTATTATTACTATTATACACTGCAAGGAGAGAAACTCCTGAAACAAAACATGAGTACATGTTCTGCTATAAGCAAATCAGGAGCTTAGTGCTGGACATTGTTAATTGTTTGGTATACCAGTTTTCTGGTTTAGTATACCAGTTAACATGGTCTAATTTATTCTCAACTTTATACTGTTGAATGCAGTCTGCATGCACTCTTCTATCGGTTAAGGTAGTAAGATTAAGAATTTCTAATCTTTTTTCATAATCAAAATTTTAAAGCGAGTGAGAAACTTTTGTGGCCATATGTTGAACATACTCAATGCATATTTTTTTTTATTATTTTATTATCAATATTTTTGAGTAAGCATTACATGCAGGCACGGCAAACTCTAAATGAGATCTAACATAGGTTATGTATAAAATTTTCCAGAGGTTTATATCCGTACTAAGGAAAGCGCTTTTCATCCTTCACAAAATACTGTTGGCTTTGGAAGCACATTTTGTTGCATGCGTTTTCCAATTGAGATTAGAATTGATTGTCACACCAAGGTTGTATTCAGAGTCTGTTGAGACTAAGGCATGACAAGTTTTTCCAAAGGATATATTGTAATTATATTTAGGGTATTGTTTACTATATTTAATTTAGCCAAAATGCATAACTTTACATTTATCAACATTGAGTTTCAAGAGCCATATTTTTATCAAAGTTACAATTGCATTTATTTCTATTTGTAATTTTGATGAATCTTCTTCATTTGATATCCTGGCTATTAATTTATTGTCATCTGCATAAAGCTTATAGGAATAATATTTTAAGACATTTGGAAGATCGTTTATATAGATTATAAATAACAGTGGTCCCAGCACACTTCCTTGTGGTACGCCGCTAGTGACATCGGCCCAATTTAAAATGTCCAAGCACAACACATTGTTGCCTATTTACTAGAAAGTTTAATATCCACTTTAATAATTTTTCATTTATGCCATATGCTTGTAGTTTTTGTGAAAGTCTTAGATGTGGCACTTTATCTAATGCTCTGGCAAAATCTAAAAAAGCTACATCAGTCCATTGTTTTTTTGAGAGTATTGTCATGACTTCATCTAATGTTTCCAATAAATTAGTAACACAACCTTTATTGCAACCAAATCGGTGTTGTTGTTTGGCTATGAGTTTATTTAAGTAGAGATGATTCATAACTGTGTCTTTTATGATTTGCTCCAAAAGCTTACATGGAATTGAAGTCAAGGAAACTGGGCGATAGTTTGCTGGGTTACTAGATTACCATTCGTATGTAACGGTGTCACATTGTCTAATCTCCACATGTCAGGGATAACTTCTTCCTGTAAAGAGCTTGAAAATATCATAAAGAGTGGCATGCTTTTAGTGCCTAAGGGTGAACTCCATCGACCCCTGGAGGTTTGTTAATGTCCAAGTTGAATAGACATTAACTAATTTCTTTAATGGACAGAGTGGGAAGTCTTATATTTGCTGATGTACGAATCTCAAAATGATTATTTGATTCCTCTACAAATACAGATTTAAAATAATCATTAAGAATGTTGCTAATGTCTGTTCCAGAGTTTGATACTGAGCCATCAGTATTAATCATATTGCTCATCAACTTGAATGCTGTTTGCTTCAGTTTCACATAACCATATAATCACTTTTTATTTGATTTATCATCTACAATATATTACAATTACATAATCTAATACAGATTTTTTTAATACTCTTTTTACTTCTTTTCGCACTGTTTTATAATTGACAATGGATAATATATACATATTAAAACAGGTTTTAATATGTATATATTATTATTGGACATATTAAAAGAGGTTTCAATATTTGTGTACTGGTTATGATCATTATGCAAGATTATGAAAAAAGCCATTTATATCCGAAATATTCCTATTTCCTTTATTTAATGAGAAACTTTAAATTAAGTGCTTGTTGAAATAAGGAAATAGGCAACAGATTTTTTTTTTTTTTTAATGGACATATTAAAAAAGGTTTCCATATTTGTATACTGGTTCTTATCATTAACTGCAAGATGATACCAAAAGCCATTTATTATCCAAAATATTTCTATTTATTTAATTTGATGAGAAAGTTTAAATCAATTGAAGGTGCATAAGAAACTAACAAGTTTAGCATCTTTCATTGGCAAAAAATCATGGTTGCTTTTTCATCTGTTGCAGGAAGTCTGACAATATTTTAAGGTGGATTTTCCCTGATTATCCCCTGATATTTCCCTGATCCACTACCTGATTTTCAAATTTAATTTAAAGTTACCCAAACTCAACTTCAGCAAAATTAAACTTGGATTTTTTTATAAAAATGCTCTTTAATTGTAAAAATATAAACAATAATAAAACCCACATTTAAAGTATCAAAATAAGCTTATAAAACTGCCAAATAAACTTTTATACTATGCCTATTATATACAAATTAAGTTACGTTAATTGATGAAGAGCCTTTTTCCCTGATTTCTTTTTGATTTTTCCAAAGTTTTACCCAACATCCATGATTATTCCCTGATTTTTTTTTTTTAAATAATCCCAACACATGGTGTCTGCTTGATGTTTTCCTTGATCTGGCAAACACCATGTGTTGGGATTACTTTTTTAAAAATGTTTTCATCTAGTAGAGTGAAAACATCTAGCCCAAGTTGTTGAAAAGCATCAAAACAGATTGAGCGAATTTCTCAAAGAAATATGAATAATAGTTTAATAAACTTTTAACAAACCTAAAAATAATATTTCATATAATGAACCTTTTGTGGGGTATATACAAATAGTCATAAATTGACCAAATTTTGCAAGATCATTCAACAGTATTTAATTCAGATATTGTGTTAATCCTGTTAAATAACAAAAATATTAAGTCAAAATTAATATCAAAAAAGGTTGTGCAATAGTTGTGTAACCTTTTACTTAACATTTATGTCTGGAGGAGGATCGATAAATGTTCCTAAATTCTTAACTTTTGCGTCAATGTCATCCATTGTAAAAATCCGTAGGAAATTGAAAATAAAAGTATAAAATAGACTGCCCTAATCTGTCATATATGAAAACTTTTGTAATTCTTAAATTGCTAAATTTAAATATTGACCCATTAACCAGATTAAAATTTACAAATGATTATTTAGATTTTTTAGGCTGCCAATAAAATGTGACATTGAAAAGTTTTATGTCAATTTTTTTCAAAAGAAAATCTAGTATTGTTTATAATGAAAAAATTGAAAGATTTTGAAAAATATAGAGCTCTAAAGTATGAACAAAACCTGTTTTTTTCTTAATTTTTTATTTTTTGGAAAATCAAAAATGAAAAGTGATCAAATAATGAAAAAAGTGGAAAACACACTACAAAAAACTTACGACAAAACTTATAAATTCTAGATTTGCTAAGTAACTTTATGGAATAAATTTTCTCATGTGTTCTTTTAGAATAGATTATAAGCATTGATCCTTGTCCTACAAAAAAACGAAACATTTAAAATTGATAATCTAATGCTATATAAATTTTACAATATTATTTTAACAACAAACCTATTACATAAATTCATTTTTTAACTAATATTTTTAACTCTAACTTTTAAGATTACCTGACAAAATGAAATCTTTGTACAAATGTAAAGCGGTAACAGGACATTTTAAAGTAGATTCCATTTATCGCTAAATATATATATATATATATATATATATATATATATAAAATAAATAAAAGATTTCAGCTTTTGCTTCTGTAGTAATTCTAAATTTCCGAAATATTTAAATTATTGAAATTATTTTCAAAGAAAATTGTTATAATTAGTTTTTAAAAACTAATTTTTTGTAAGCATTACAATATTTGTATTACTAATATTGTTTGAATATATAATATTTATAGGAATATTGTATAAATACTACTATAGTTTACTACTTATCAATATAACTGCCTTGCTAATTATTAAACTTTTTTTTTAAGGCATTTCTAAACTTTTTTTCAATTAGTTATCTATATTATTTACTTAATTTGTTATATTACTTAACTGTATATGTAAAAATTGATTATGATCTGCTTTACAAGTCCACTCACCCAATATCTTCTCATTTTATCTATTCTTACTCATTTCCTTTCCCACTTATCCACTCGTCAATTTTCCCTCCTTATTTCATTAGTAATCCTTCCTATATCAACTCTTGTATAAAAAGTCTAACTGTCTAAATCAATAATTAAAAACTAATCAAAATTTATTGCCTAAATCTTACTAAGCCTTGAATGCTGAATTGGCAATTAATATGGCTGTAAAGTTTTTGTGGCATTTGCTAAAATGATGCATTAAGTAATTAAAAGCTATATAATATGACTCTTAAAATAAGTGATCCACAAAAGAAGCTACAACTCTTTAATAACTTAACTAGCTATTGGTACTGCTCCATTTGCTTAAAAAATACTTTATTATTTTCATCTCTGACAGATAATGATTTTAAGGTCACTTTAAGTGATGCAACCAATGTTTCAATGAAAAACCATTTAACTTGGAAAACCTTTTTTTAAAATAAATAAATTTAATAATGATAATATAAATTGTAAAAACAATTATACATATTAGTATAAACTCAAAAACCTTTTTGTATGAAAAATATCATCCTTGATATATTATTGAGGACCTTTAGGACCTAAAACTTGCTTTCCCATATGAATAACAAAACAAATATCATTGCTATATCTGAAACTTGCTTAAATCACGATAAAACACTTAGAACTGATATTACTATAAATGGTTTTGTTTTTGAACTGATTATAATTCTAATAGAGAAGGAACTCTTTTATATATAAAAAAAATCAAATTAGAGCACAATTTGAAATTCAAAAAATAAATAAACTAGAATCAACCTTTATTGAAGTTTTACTGACATCAAAAAAAAAAATTGTTATTTGTCAAATACAACTAACAAAATGTAGTTGATGTTTTAAAAAGTTTGTATATATCTCTTATAAATCAAAAAAAAAATTACAAGACCCAATAACATTCTTTCAGAAATATTTATTTTAGCATCTCAAGAACTAAACTGCCTATTGAGTATTATAATAAATTAATTTTTTCAATCAGTAGTATTTCCTGATTTATTCAAAGTTGCTGTAGTTGTATCTGTCTAGTCAAATTGACTGTAAACAAGATCCAAGTAACTATTGACCTATATCTTTACTCTCAAATGTCGGTAAATTACTTGAAAAGTTGATGCATAACAGGTTAATCAGTTTTTTAAATCTATCAAATTGCTTATAATCTGCAATTTAGATTTCAAAAGATATACTCTACTAACCAAGCACTCATAGCTATAACTGAAACCATACAAAAATGTATCTTTTACAAACATAAAAGTAAAAGATCTGTATCTTTTACAAACATAAAAGTATTGGCATTAATCAATCAAATACTAGTCAATTCACTTTTGAAACTCTCTTACTGTTAAAACTAAAAAAATACAAAATGACAAACAAAAATGCATTTATAGCCAATGTAAAAGAGTTTATTTTCAAAAAAAATATCAATGAACTCTTTGCAATGCAACTGTTTTCTTTTAGTTATTTATTTATTTCTTAATAAATATTTGTAACAGATAAAAAGACTCAGCACTTTTTCATGTAATGATTTGTAACAGATAAAAAGACTCTTCTTTTTCATGTAATGATTAACTTTACTTCTGTTCCTTTCTTTTTTTTCTATTGTAATTTTAATTTAGTTATTTTTGTTATTATACTATTGCCATTATCATCATTATTATTTGTTAATTACTATTACTATTAAAGATATCATTATTTCCTACAATGTTTTTATCAATATTATAAAATCATTTTTAAAATATAGTCATTTTTAACTTTTTTATATATATATATATATATATATATATATATATATATATATATATATATATATATATATATATATATATAATTCATAAGTGAAATACAAATGAATACACTAGTGGTCAATCTAAATACATTTTAAGAAGATAAACAATCATTGTTTTAAACTTAATAAAAAACATTAGGTAAACTAAATAAAAAAAGATCTTTCAGTAATAATTCAAGAAATATAGTTGTTGTTCAAATTACTTTATATATGTTCTTTATATCTGTACTTTATATATGTTCAAATTACTTTATATATGTTGGTAAATACTGATTTTTAAGTTAACCTAACTTACATTTACTTTTTTGTTTTAAAAATTTCTTGTACAAAAGCAATGGAACTTTGAATTTTTTCTTTCGCATTAGGAACTTCTTGAAAATTTTGTTCAGCATACACCCCTGTAAGTGTACCTGCTAGAAGGCCAAGAATAAAACGCTTGCTAATGTGTGACACTAGTACACCAGCAAGAAATCCTTTAAGAAAAGATATTGGAGTAGGCTGTTTTTTTTTGTCTACATCAGACATTATTTAATATTTACGTTATTTTAATTTTTGGTTCAGAAGATTTTGTCTTGAAACCCACTGCGATCATAAAAATAAAACCCGACACTAGCATTTAAAAAAAAAAAAATCTTTTTTAAAGACGGTTAATCAATTGACGGAAGATAGCAGATTGACGGAAGCAAAAAATCTCGCAACGTGAGAGAAAACTCAATGTAGTCGATAACATCAATATTAATTCGTTAATAGTTAACAATAGTAGTCAGGCCCAAACTGTAAACATTTTAGAGAGAGTTTTTTGAAAAAAAAATTTTAAAAAACTAGTTTAGTATCAAATGGGTTTTGTTTGTCAAATGGGTTATTGTGTAAAAAAAGCAAGCAATTCTCAAAAAATATTTTCAACTCGAAACTAGTCAAAATCTATAAAAAATGATGCTGATATTAAGCTAATCAATAATTAAAAGTAGTTGATCCACAATTAACCTTTTGAAAGAAAATATGAAACAAAATCAGCCATTGTACTTTCATTAACTAAAGTATATTATTCAATTCTTGGGTATCAACGAAGCCAAGGATTATCCATATTATTGCAAGCACCAGTGATTCTTTGCTGATTGGCAATTGCAAATATATATATTAGATATATTTAGGTATGTCTTTGTTTTATGTCAAATCTTTACAGATTTAGATATATCTTTGCTTTATGTAAAATTTGTTAATTTGTTTTGCAATAGTGTGGAAAAGTTGGTTTATCGTACCAGGAGCACTATGTATTTAATTGAGCTTTGAATAAATAAACTCTTGCACAAACTCCCACATCACAAATCTCCCACAAGCTGAGGAACACTTGGGTAACTAACTTAATAAAATGTTCAACATTTCAAGTCTTTCGGTCTTTTCAGGTATATAACACACAAAGCTACAAGCATTCCAATACCATAAATCAAATTATTTTAAATAGAATTGATTGTTGAGTTTTAATTACCAACACAATTTGTATAACTGATGCACCAGTAACAACAACTGACATTTCATTTTTTTGTATTTTGTTTTTTAAATAATTAAATAAAACATAAAAAAAATATTTTTGAAGACAATATTTTCAAAAAGTTATTTTTACTTTTTTAAATTAAAAAAAAAAAAAAAAAAAAAAAAGTGTGAGCATAGCCTCTGATACCGTATCCTCATGGACCTCTGGTAGTCTGCCATGGAAATAGTTCACAGCGCAGAGAAACAAAGCTCCAGTCTGCCTTGAAGGTAGTCAAAAATCTATTGCAATATTAATTTAAAATATGGGGCACATGAACCAGCCCCCTTCTGGTGTCTTGGGCCCTGAAAACAATTTGAATATGCATTTTTATTAGCGCCACCGAAATGACAAAAATTTCAGAGCAACAGCTAGCCTGAAAAAACAATTACAATATTCTGCAACAAAAAAGTAGGATCCATGCCCGGTTCTCCATATATAGAAATCCATATACTTGCAGATCAAAATGCTCATGTTTTTTGAAAGATTTTTGATCATTGTATTGGATTTGTCACCCCTGAAGATAGCTAGGTACAAATTTTTTAGTAAAAAGATCAAATATTTTTAAAGTTGTGTGACTTGGAGCCTCTAAATAAACGTTGCAATTCTGAGGAAACAAGAGGGGCTAGATCAATATCTGTTAAAAGTAAAATGGTCATGTTTAAGGATCTTTTTAGAATTAGAGACTAAAATTTTCAAGGAATTTTTATTTTACTAAGTACTCTCAACTGGATAAACATCAGTAAAATTAGAGTTGTATGAGGACGTGGCCTGGTCAATTGACATAAAATTACTAAAAATACACTAACTATTTAAATATCTAAAGAGGACCTAAAAGGATCTAAAGAGTAATTTTATATATATAAAGTTTTGCATGCTAGTTGTCACCATAAACTTGCTTTATCTGCTTGCCATTATCTTACTCCTGATTTTCCTCTCTACCTCTACAAATCTCATATTTGTCTCGGTATGAAATACTGTTGTCATACTTGAGCTGGTTCTCCTAATGATGCTCTTTCTCTTTTAGACAAAGTCCAAAAACTCATTGTAAGCGTAACTTGACCTGCTCTATATCCTAAGCTTGATTTGCTGGCTCATTAACTCTATTCTTTGTTTTCTTGTAACTCTTATACAATTGTAATAACCCTGATTACAATATTATGTTGTTATAGAAATTATAGCAACATAAAATTATAATCAGGGCCATCCAGGAGGGGGTGTCTAACCCTCTTTAATCAGGGGGTGAGACACCCCCTTTTTAGAGTTAGAGTCCCCAAATTTGCTGTTTTGAGGGGGGAGGTGTCTAACCCCCTAAAAAAAATATGTTCGAAAATTAGTCGGCAAATTTTGCACAGTTGCCAGTCGGAAAATGTTAGCCAGCGAGGACGTCTTTATCTGATTTTTGTCGACTAGGCCTTAGTCAGCAAAAATCAGATACTTTACTCTCCTTTAAGATCTCTTCGGGATGGCCCTAATTGTAATAATTTGTAATATTTATAATTTATTACAATTTTTAGAACGGTGACAATTTAAATTAAATAAAAATAATTAATTGAACTGATTATAGTCTATTGTTGTCAATGTTGTGCATAGTTTTATAATTAAATATCACAATAAATAGCCTTGAGGCGCTCACTTTTATGTATATAAGCCCTTGGGCCCGAGTGGATTGCACGTTCTGCACACCAAATTACTGCAATAAAAAAATTACAGAATTAGTTGATTACATAAAAAAAAAAATTAAAAGTTGTTTTAATTGGTAGTTTATCTCTATACTTTTGATCATTTATAATAAAACGCTCTTAACCATTTAATTTTTAAAAATTGCATGTTTTGGATAAATTTTGTTATTTTTTTTATAAGAGCTTTTTTTTCCCCAACTTATGTTGAAGAAGATGAACTTTTGGTCTTTAATGTGTCTCCAGTTTTGATATAAATACGAATTCACATTCAAAAAGTAATAACAAATAAAGTGTAATAAAATAACAAAAATGTAAGTTGAAAAAATGTAAAAAAAAATTTTCTTATATCTCGATAATTAAATAAAAAATAAACAACTTGTTTAAGCTTTCGACTAAAAACACATTCAAAAATCAAAGAAATAAAAATAAAGCAGACTAAAAAGCAAAACTTTAAAAAGTAAAACTTAAAAAGTTTACTTTTTAAAGTTTTACTTTTTGAAACTTTATTTTAAAAGAATAACCTTTAATGATGTAATTTCATATCATAAATTTTAAAGTCAGATAATTTAAAAAGCAATTGTTTTTATATTGTAATTTTTAATATAATACAATGATTTAAATTTTTTAGATTAGAAATTAGTTTAATTAATCCTTATCGTAGCTATCTTATCGTGGTTATACTATATCATCGGTCTACCTTTATCGGTTAAACTTATTGTTAATCAACGGAAATACTATAGGAAAAAACAGACAACTTATACAAAAAACGTGATCTTGAAAACACTTGAACGCCTCAAATAACGAAAGTAATGTCAGTAAAACAAAAGACACCTTTTATCAATAAACTCCAAAAAGTTCCTGCTAAAATTTTAGAAACCACAATAAACGCATATCCAAGATGTAATAAATCTGGCTGAATAAAGCAATTACGAGACAAAGTTTTATAATAACCAACATATAGTTTTTAAATTGGACATTTTTAAAACATATTTATAACTGGCTTTATAATTTAAATTCGTTTATTATAATGAATTTTATAAAAATTTGAAATTTTATTTTTTTGTTCTCAAAATATTTGTAATTTAAAACCAAAAAAAAACAACGTCTGTTACTAATTTTTAAAATAAATATCTAATTCAATAATTAATATTTAAATTGTTAAAAGGCATTAGTTCATTTGTTATTTTCATAAATTGTTTTTTGAAGCAAAAAGTTTTGGTTAAATATTAATAAGTAAATGTACCTATTATTATTTAACCAAAACATTTTTTAGCTTCAAAAAACAAATTTTTAACACAAAAAATTTCGTCACAACTTATGTCAAAATTCGTGATTCGTGAAAAATGTAAAGTTTCAGGAGAAAGATAAATAATAAAGAAAAAACTTAAAGAAACAGTTTTCAAATGTAGGGTAATTTAATTAGGTAATGTAGAACCAACTCTAAATTAGAGAAGGTTCTAAAAGTTTTCAAAAAAATTTCGCTTTTCTTTTTTTTTCTATTTATTTAGTTTATTCATCTTTATTTTATTTATCTATAAAAAAACACGACAATCAAAAATGTTTCAACAAACAATAAATTTATACTATTGTTATAGGGATGATGTACTATTTTAAAATATAAAGTCTTTGCTATAAATAAGAAATGCGCAATTTTTAATGTTTTATACTTAAAAAATTTAAAAACATATGTTGTAAAATCAACATTGAAATAATAAGCTTTAATTCTACGACGTTTTATGAACTTGTTATATTCCTAGTTTACGTTTTTATTAATAATTAACGAGAGTATTAAAAAGTTTTCTTATGCAAATAAAATCTTTTAAATCCGACTACGGTGAAGAAAAATATTAAATTAAGTTTTTGTGTGTGAGCGATAGTCCGACTTTTGTAGTCATTACAACGTATTAAGCGTATCGTTGATAAAAAGTAATCATTTTTCAATTAGAGTTACGCATTTGAATGGTGAGCACTTATTGGTCATTATCGCTTTCAAACAGACTCAAAAGGATTAGAGTAAAACTAGCGCAAAACCATATAAACACTTTTATACCAATTTTTGTTTTAATGTTTCAAGTTTATTAATGCTTCAAATTAAGTTTTTATTAATGAATCTTTTTAAAATGAAAAAATACCTTTGCAAGTGCGGTGTAAAAAATAACACTTTCTAAAATTAGCTTTCGAAAAAAATATTTATGATTTCAAAATCAAATTTCAAATTGTGTTTTGAAGAAGGTAATGTCGTATTCATTTATATTCATGTTTTGGAAATCTCTTTTGGACATACGAATGGTTTTAATTGAGATAAAAGGTTAGTTGCATATATTTGTGTATAAAATTGCTTTATATCTATTGCAGTATCTATATATGTTATGCCAACCCAGTGGGCACAGTATGTTTTTTAAACGTTCTTTGGACGCTTTTATTAGGTTTAAACATGACAAAAACGTCCAAAAAACGTTTTAAAAACGAACCGTGCCCACTGGGCAAATTTCCAAAATGTTTTATTGCTTTTTCTAGTGAATAATACAATTTTACAAACTTTCTTGCAAACACATAGTGACACACAGCCCATAACTATTGTGACAGTGGTAATTCTTGTTTGTTTCAAAACATTGCACTTTATTTGTTGTATGAATATAAGCCGTATAGATAGTTTTTGCGTATTAACAATTTAATATTTTATTTATTCTGATTTATTTTATATTTTTTTAGTTAAAATAAATGTTTTGTTTTCTAAGAATACAAAATATTTGTTTTTGGTTTTCCACTTAAAACACAAGTTTTTTTAAAAATCGTTTGTCAAAGTGGGTGTTTGCGTCAAACTTCCAAAAAAATGTGTTTTCTCACCTCCGTACATTCTTTTTACGTTTTACGTAAATTAATTTTAAATTAACTAATCTAATTTTTTTTTTTAGAAAACATTTTAAAATTCCGTTTAATGGTATTTGTTGGTGTAACTGTGACTTTAACATTACTTTTTATGCAAATATTTGTTTTATTATGTACTAAAAAATGGTGCGAAACAAGACAAAGATTAAGTATTAATGATGAACTGAAGACGATAGTAATACCCGAACAAGATTACAATGAAATTGAACCCTCTAACATTATACGCAGACAACCGCCTTTAAATGCAACAACTATATATTTAGCTCCTTTATTAGGAAAGAATCAGGGTATTAACAATAATAATAGATTTGAAGTCTCTGAAGGCGCGGAAAGATATGTAATTGATGTAGAACCTTCAAAGCATTGTAACGAGTACTCTGCTGATGGATGCAGAAGAAAATTAGGTGTAAGGGGCGATGGATATTCATTTATATTTTCTAAAGAATTATAAAACACAAAGAACACAATTAAAAAAACGAAAACTTGATCAGGAGTTGTCCATAAATTACGACACGCAATTTTTGACCTTTTTTGTTCGTTCCCCCTCACTCCCCTCGTCACAACATCGTCCCCCTCGTTCCCCCATCCCTCCCTTGCCTCGTCACAACATCGTAACACCTTAGTAACAAGTTCCGTATGAGTCGTCACAAAACCACTAACCCCTCCTTCTCTACCTTCGAGCATGACGTAATTTATGGACGACTCTTTATCTGTTGTGTTGTGTTAAAAAAACACATTTGTTATATAAATATGTACAATACTAATTTAAGAAATACGAAAGACATTTATATTTTTACTTTATTTATTTGTATTTTATTAGAATACATTTTAAATTTATTTTTTATTACATTTTAAAAGAACATTGGTCATAAAATTTTTCACTCACACGTTTTATCAACCTTTATTACTTCTCTTTCTGGGTTTTCCCTATCTGAATAAATTAATGTACATTCCCTTAATAAATAGACATAATAATGTGAAGAATAATTCACAGTTATTGTTTTCAATTTTACAATTTTTTTAGTAAAAAGTTTTCTCACTTGCCTGCCTAGAAATATGACATAAAAAAGGTTTAATATTGATTCTATGTACTTTGTATCTCACCTGCAAATTACTGCAAATTGCCACACAAATTGGATTCAATTTGTTTTTGCGACATTTTTAAAATCTTTGATTTGTAAACAAAATTTTATCAACACAATTAAAAACTAGGAAATAAATGTTTATTATAATAAAGTATGAAATAAAAAGCCTTTATGGTTTTAGAGAAATCATAATTTTAAATTGCCCAGCTTTTTCCGTGTTCACCCGATTATATGTTTTTTTATAGCTTTTATTTGGTAATCTATATAAAGGTTATCTAATCTGGTAAAATATCAACAGAGAATTTTTATAAAAAATAGGTTAAAGGTGTTAACGTAAAATTTTATTACATTTTTAACAAAAAATTAAAGCTAATAATTTAAATAAGGTGGCAGGCAATAAGTAATAAAATTTGAATCATTGAATACGAATTATGTTACAAGTTTTTATTTATTTGTGAAAAACTTGAGATCACTTAACTCTTTTAAAACAACATTCAAATAGCAATTATTTTACTTAACTGGCGCCAACATATTCTCGTCTATCTCAAAATACAATTAATAATAAGGATCTAAAAATTATTGATTGCATTTTGAAGCCGCAATAAACAAAAATAGTTATTACATTATGATAATAATTTTATTCTATACTCATTATGAGATTTTTTTGTTATGATTTTTTATTAATTCATTTTAATCTTATTAATAGTCTTTTTTTATTATTTCATGTGGAAACTTGTTGTAGAGTTGTATCTTTTGAACGTTCAAAAGATGTTCAGAACGTTCAAGAGACATCTTTTTTTCCTCCTCTGCTCAACTGGGTAATCTTCAATTTGATCTTGTCTTTTTTGTTACTTAGCTTGTATTTGAAAATATACACACAAATATATTTATATTTATAAATATATGGAAGTTATGAGAGCAAAATATATGGAAGTTATGAGAGCAAAATTTAATCATTTGTATTATAATCATTGTACAATGATTAAATTCTAACGAATTGAAAATCGATTGAAATATATTTTGTTTACAAAATACGGTTGTTTTTTTTTTAATCAAAGATTAAAAAAATACAACTAATTCCAAACTAAAAATTGATAGTTTAATCTAGATCACTCCAAAAACTAATTAAGCATTTGACTCTTTTTGTACTTAAAAATGTCATTAAAAACGTCAAAAAGTTATTAAAAACGTCGAAAATAACTTCAATTTGCTCATCAAATGCTTTCTTTAATGATCATCGAGAATGGTACATCATGACAGCTTTAAAGTTTATCTTTATATTTTCTAGCCATTTGCTCACTACTTTTATATCTTTGGATATTTTTTGACATTTTGTTTGGTATTTAAGCTTCACTTCTTTACTTGTATGTGATAAATTAAGCAAGATCTTCCGGGGTATTTAAATTAACAAAGCTTTCCTCAACTGAATATTTTCTGTTTTAAAAAACAAATACCAGATTTGCAACTTTACCAGTTTAGTCTCTAAATGATTTTTTTTTTAACAAATAAGTAAAACCTCAATAATAATTTAAAAAATGCTTTGTTATTGATGCTTTTATTTGGTTGCCATAGATGTTTATTATTATTTTTTCGATTTTTTAAAATTTGATCCTTAAGATTATGATTAGTTACTTTTTTTTACAAATTTCTTCATCAGAAACTTTTTGAGAAAGACAATGAAATCTTTTTTTTACAAATTTCTTCATCAGAAACTTTTTGAGAAAGACAATGAAATCTTTTTTTTACAAATTTCTTCATCAGAAACTTTTTGAGAAAGACAATGAAATCTTTTTTTTACAAATTTCTTCATCAGAAACTTTTTGAGAAAGACAATGAAATCTTTTTTTTACAAATTTCTTCATCAGAAACTTTTTGAGAAAGACAATGAAATCTTGGATGAAAATGAAAATAGTACTAAACACTATTTCTTATTTAATATTATTTTCATGTTTAGAATTTTTGGATTCACCTTAATCTACAAGAAACAGCAATTAACTTGTTAACATTTAAATAGCGAGTGAAATAATACAGTTTTACAAGATATTTAACATTTTCAATCAAGTAACACTAAAAAATTCAGCTTTCAACAAGTAACTTTAAATATTGAATTTCTGCATAATTCTGCTTCACCATTAGCTCTCACACATATACAGTAGCGTCCTAAAGTTTAAAGACAGTTACTCAATTCGATATAAATTTTGAACGGTGCATTCATGTCCTTGAATGCTCACTGAATATATCTTATAATATTATTTATGTGTAAATAAAAACATTCTTTTAAAATAATATTATTATTATATTATATTATTAAAAAAAGGTAATAGTTAAAAAGTTTAAAGACACTTGTAGTTTTATTTAACGGAGGCGTAAATTTATTTACGTTTTGTACAATATTTTAATAAATTTATGCGAGTTTAATTTCTTTGGAGCAATGAATGTAAGTTTATGCTATTCGGATCAGACGGAGTCAATTATGTTCGACGGCCTGATTCTAAGTATCAACTTAGGATTGAATTAGGCCGTCGATCTAGAGATTCAATCCTAAGCACTTCCAACTTCCAATTGCTATGCATGGTGGTGGAAATATTATATTATAGAAACACCTAGATCGTCAATTAAAGTAGATTTTTTTAGATTTCTTTAGAATACTTACAAATTCTTTTCTGCATTGAGTCATTTCGAATTCCACATTAGTTTTACGGATTTTTTATCCCTTTCTTGCAAAATGTGAGGTCAAATTTTTATTATTGTGAACAAAAAAGTGAAGTCTACGCTTTTACAGAAGAGTGTGCTATAGATATCAGAAGCCAACGGGGTCTAAGATAAAATTACTAGTGCTGGAGACACCACCTTTACTAGAAGATCTAAATTAGTGTCCAAGGTCAACTTGATTATTTATTGGCTCATGGATGAGTTGGAAAAAAAATAGCCTATTTTGTTTTTAACAATCTCTAAGGCTTTTTCACCAAGTTACATGAACTCGATCCCGACACAATTTTTAGAATTGCAGCCAAACTTATTATTTTATATCCCAACGACATTTTTTTTATAAAATTTTTATTAGCAATAAGAAGAGTAATGTAAACGCTGATTCAAACGTTCCAAGAATCCACATTTCCAAATATTGATGTCGCACTGAAAATGTTTTTGAGTTGCACCACCAAGTAGATCAAGAGCTCTTCACGTTCAATATTTGAAAAGGAATGTCGAAAAAAATTGACAACGATAGTCTGAATTCTCGTTTTCTGAAAGCAAAAGTTGTCAAAAAGTCTTTTAAAGCTAAACATTGTTAAATTGATTTTTTGTACTTTGCAATTGAGCCATCATAGTGCCCCCTTCTGTTTTGGGCCTCCAATCTTCTACTGAGCGCTGGTTTGTTCAATATTATGCAAAAAACTAACAAAGAAAAATAGTTATTAACGCATATAAGTTAACTATTATCACTCATATAAAACCTGTAAAAAGGTATTCATATAAACATGTATAAAAAGGTATTCATATAAACATGTATAAAAACTAACAGTTAATTAATTTTGTAACAATAAAGGACAAAAATACTGTAGTTTTTTTCATAGATGAGAAAGTCAGAAAGAGCACAGATATTCATTTTAAAGTTCAATTTTCTAGATTTACATTTGGCAAAATATTTGAGTACATCAAATTAAATAATAAATTAAAGTTTTGCGCAATAAGTCTGCTTCAATTATCAGCAGAGATAAAGAATCAAGGCTTTCTTGTTGCATTATGGATCTGCATGGATTTTTTGTACGTTTCAACGGAAAAAAAGTGTTCAGTTGAACAATTCATAACCAGAGGCAAGTAGAGTATCCCAATAACCGGATCTGCCGATTTCCCGTCTGTTAACTGAATTAAAAAATCTGAAAATTTTGATATCCAATCCGAAAAAGATGGAAAGGATATCCGATACGGTTTATATAAACATGGATAATGTAAATATTCAAAAAAATAATCATAAATGAGATACCCGGGTACAATCTTTTCATACTTATTTAAAAAACAACAATTTTACGGGAGGCTGAATAAGTGCACATTTCATAAATTCGAACTGGCATTAGTGCGAAGCAGTTGCGAAAACTGGCAAAAGTGCAAACTGGCATAAATGCGAATTGGCATAAAATATGTTAAAAGAATTTGCAAACATTAGCATAAATGTTATCTCGTGTTACTTTCAATTTAGTCCAACGCTCTAACTACTACGGTACAGCTGCTTAACATTAAAATGGTATTGGTAAGTCATTACATATGCTATGCGGTTATCAGCTAAGTATATATGCTGAACACAAGGTTTTTATTATATATTTTTCTTGTTTAAATTTTTATTTGAACAAAGAAATTAAACTTCAACAAGGCTGCAGGCAAATACTAATTATGTTAACAAAAATGGAGTAATTAGAAAATTGATTAAAAAATTAAACCAATTATGACAACAGTGTTCTATACAAGGACGGATATAAAAAATATGGAGGTAGAGAACAAAATCGGTGGTAAGAAAATGGTTAATATTTTAGATTTAGATTAGATTAGATTTTATCTAATGTACAACAAACCTTTTTTTTTTAGGTGCCTCTAACGGTCTTGTCACAGAGCACCACGGACATTTAACTAGGAAGTTCACGCTTCCTTTCCTACTAATGACACAAAGTATAACCAGAGCTTGCTTCTAACCTTTTATCTCTTGCTTCTAAGGAAGGCGCT